TACATTCTCCCAAAAACACATTACTTTATACAGGATACTGGCCTCGTCTTTGGAACATTAGGACGGGGCTGGCCTCAAGCCTGTCCTCGAGTCAAGAATATGGGCGCCGATCGCAGCATCATTATTCAATATTCAGTAGCGTCGAGCTGATTGATGCCTTGGTCCGGCATAAGCCCTAGAAACTCTTCGTCAGCAGCGACTATTGCTGTGGTGTCTGCAAGGCTTGAGGTTTAAGCTTCGCAATTAGCCTCTCTAAATACTACGCTGCAGGCCTCCTTTCCCGACCAACTAGTCATGTCTACGCAACCAACCAGTACTGACAACCACAAGCCAGAGCTCGCCTGTTGTTTACAAGAGCTGACTGAGATGTTGCTCAGCAAGTATCTTCGTGCTCGATTCTGCAGTCTTCACTTGCCTGCTGATGTTGCTAGCCCTCACCTCAACACACAAGTCGGGGCGATCGATCGCCAGACTTGTCAATGCGTACGCGATCTGCGTACCTATTCATCTGCAGCTGCAACGGTAAATTGATGTTCCCATGCACGACGGTTGAGCCGCCGCTTTGGGCTACATCACCTTCGGGTCGTGTTCGATATTCGGGCGTCAGACATTCCAGAAAGCCAAAACGAGTTCTTCGTGACTGTTCAAGGCTCTAGGACCTCTGATGCAGGACAGATGAGTTGGGCGATACGCGAGGTTATCACAATGTCTTATTGGGTCACTTACACCTCCTCCCAACTACTCCCGGTCAAACGCTCAGCTCCCCAGCACGAACCCTACCTGCACAGACATGATCTGAAATATAGACAGCCTGTAACCACTACTCTTTGCCGCCCACATTCCTTCTGAGATGGGAGAGCATCGAGACCTTCTAGAAGGAGGTCTGATGTGTGGTGGCTTCAAACGCAACATCGGCCGAGCAAGCACGAGCTGCGAAGGCTCTTTGACCCATGTTCGGACTCTCACCAGCCCGCTTCGCAAAGCTCGCGACGAACACGGATCATGGGGAAGTCCCAACCCCCGATTGTAGACCATTGCGGCGCGCACCATCCCGTTCGGAGCCGGGGCCTCGGCCTGGCAATGATTCAAGACTCTTACACACCATTGAACAGTAGGTGAAGGGAGAAATAGGAGAAGGAGAGTTCGTGTCTGACACTTCCTACCGGCAGTCCGTGTTAGGTTCGGCCTAGGCTCGCTGCGTCTCACGACTTTGGCTTCGACTTTTGACAGCTTCTTTTTTCGGGCTCCCACCTCGTGGAGGGCATGGATCCCTGGAAGAGGGGAAAGGCTATGCCGTCGTCGTCGGTCAGAGGACGCGATTTGCTGAATGTTGGGACGCAATGAACGCGGTGACTGGCTGCCTTCCCACCCCCTTTGGAGTCACGATCTCTACTCGATTTTGCCTAAATCACTATGCCAGATAGCTCAGTCGTCTTTGTTGTCTTCTTTCTCACTGGAGTTCAGCGCTCCGATGGAGATTGGGGTTGTGATATTCCGTAAAACTCCTATCTAAGCCCCCCGACACCGTCTCTGGTTACCCTTTTGCAGCAAACCGCTGTCAAAAAACCATTTGCAAAGCTACCCCCTTCGAAATCCTGATTGATCTCGCTCATGCCTCTGCCGCAGCGCTTTCTGAAGCACGCCGGGCCGATTTTCCTTTTCCCTTTCTTTCCCTGTCTCGTTCCTCTCATCTCTCTCGTATCTATATCTTTCTTCCTCTCAACACCGGACCACACACACTGGCCATTTCTCTAAGGCTTGCAACGTCCCATGTAGCGGGGGTACAAGCATGTCGTACGGACGGTGTGCTGGTTGGCCAGCCAGGCCAGGAAACGCTCGAGGCCGAGACCGTAGCCGCCGTGGGGGGAGGTTCCGTACCTAAAGCAATGTTGTCAGCAACTTTTGTCCTTTTTGGTCTATTGAACAGCTTCGAGAGGGGAGAAAAGGAAAAAGTAAACTCACTTTCTCTGGTCAGTGTACCAGTAGTAGTCCTTTGACGGGATTCCCTCTCTGTCGTAGGCGGCGAGGAGCTCGTCGTAGCCCTCCATTCTCATGGAACCACCAACAATCTCTCCGACGCCGGGCATCAGGCAGTCGACGCTCTCGGTGACGCGCGGGTCGTTGGGGTCCTTCTTCATGTAGAAGGCCTTGATCTCTGTGGGGAAGTGGGTGAGGAAGATGGGCTTGTTGATGATGTCGGTCATCCTGCGCTCGGCGGCCTCGGCAATGTCGTCGCCAAACTTGTGAGTCTCGCCGTCCTCGTTGAGGATGGGGGGGTCTTGGGCGTTGAGCCAGTCGATGGCGTCGGTGTACTTCATGCGCAGGAAGGGGCGGACGGGCTTCTTGAAGTCGGGGTTGAGCTCCTTGACGTAGGCGGCGATCTCCTCGTCGGCGAGGACGTTGTCGATGACGCGGCACATGACCTCCTCGAGATGGGCGAGCAGGTCGGGGAACTCGATGAAGTCGAGCTCCGCCTCGACGTGGGTGTACTCTGACAAGTGTCTGCGGGTCAAGCTGCGCTCGGCACGGAAAGACTTCTCGATGCAGTAGACGCTTCCCAAGCTGGGGAGGACGGTCTCGAGGTACAGCTGGGAGGACTGTGTGAGGTAGGCGGCCTCGTCGTAGTAAGGGACGGAGAAGAGCGTGGAGCCGCCCTCAACCTGGGTCTGGACCAGAGCCGGGGGAGAGACCTTTGTGATCTTGAGGTCCTTGTAGGTCTTGGTGAAGGCCCACTCGACGGCGGCGCGGATCTTCATGATGGCGGAGGCGTTGTCGCCGCGGAGAACCAGGTGGCGGTTGTCCAGCATCTGGGAGTCCCACTGGTTCTGCAGCAGTGAGACCTTGTTGGTGATGGCATCCTCGTCCGTGGGCGACGTGCCAATGACCTTGTAGTAGTCGACGTGAAGTTCACGGTTATCCGGGGCAGTCTGGCCCTCAGGGACCTTCTTGAGCTCACCATAGACCCAGAGGGAGGTTCCCTGGGCAAAGGTAAGGGCGTCGTACGTCTTTGTGAGGTCGCCGGCCTGGAGCACGCACTGGAGGTGTCCGTAGCCGTCAACGAGGGTAATGAAGGTGGCCTGCTTCTGGGCGCGCAGCCTGTGAATGCGGCCGGCAATCTTGACGCGGTCGCCCTTCTTATCGCCCTCGCCCAACACGACAGTCTTGTCGGCGATGGTGATGCGCTTCGCCTCGGGGAGGGACTCGTCCTCCTTGATGACGATCTGCTTGGCAGCCTCGAGGGCCTGCTGGCGGGCCTTCTTCTGCTCCTCCTCCTTGGCCTCGATCTGGGCCTGCTTGACGAGCTTCTTGCGGTGGGCGTCGAGGGCAGACTGGGCCTTTTTCACGGCGCTCTTTGCAGGCTCCTTCCACTCGAGGCGGGCGGCCTCGTCGTCGCCCGTCTTGGAGGCGCGGGTGAGGAACTGGCGCGATGTGACGGACTCGTTGTTGGCGATGTAGGCGGCGGCGAGGGACTTGAAGGGGGAGGACTCGGTGCCCTGGGTTGTGGGCTCGTCGACGCCGGCGTCGGTGTCGATGTAGACCTTGTCCTCCGTCTTGGGACGCTCAGCCAACTCCTGTGGGGTGGCCATGGTGTGTGGTCGAAGATTCTCTGACGTCTAGGGAGAGAAAGGAGTTACGTCCGTCGACTGTTGACTCAAAAGCCGGTTGTTTGTGTACAGTCGAAGTTTTGGGAAATTTTTGGGATGGTTTCTGGATGGCGGGGTAAATTATTCGGATTGAGTTGGTGGGAGGGACGGAGGGGTGAGGGAGAGGGTGACCTGGTCTGATGTACAGCGTCGGGTATCTTTTTTTGTGACTGTGCTGCGTAAGTCACTTGCAACCGCAAAGCCAACAACAATTGGGAGAGAGAAAAAATAATCAGGAATAGGTATTACAGGAAAGAGTCCTGCAATTGGGCTCAGTCAAAGGCAGAACCCTTTTTTATCTAACACAGACTATCCGGACCTGACCTGACAAGTTGCTCGAAGCTGTATGAGTCACCTCTGTTGGCTTTCCAGTGTCTGGGGTTTGTTACAGTGCAATTACACCTACCCCCTTGATACCTTTGCTCCCTGAGATCACCGCCTGGCGCCCAGTGGAGGGGCACCGGGAACTGAGGTGCTGTTCAAAAGACATTACCCTGCCCAATTCCCAATTGAGCGTTGTAATTGCTCAGAGATAAGGGAGCTCGGGCCTTGCGTTACGGGGGCCCTCTTGCTTCTATGAGCGCCCGCCCGTTTGGCTTTTGCTGAGAATGAGGTTGGGTCTCGCGCAACTTTGCTCCGAAGATAGGAAGGAAGGCGGGTGCGTATCCGTATCTAGGTACATCTGCTGGTCCCTTCCCCCTTGACTCGGGCGTCTGAAGGACAAAGCGACGGTGAGGCGGTTTGCGTACTTACCTTGGGGTGGCGGTGAGAATGCTGGGAACAGTGAACTGAACAAAGTCTCGTTATTTTGGTTCAAGTGTAGAGGGTGTAGAATGAGCGGTATACTATACTCCTGCGTGCGGTACATTATTTGTGAGGAAAGCTCTAAACTGCCCGCAACTGTTATAAGTCGAGTGTCATCATCTCAGGCTGTGGATGAGATTCGGGAAAGGGGAGTCTTGATATCGGGAAGCATCACAATGCGCCTATTGAGATATAGTTGCGGAGTAGGAATCACTCGTGAGAGTCCCAGCTGGTGCCATCCCATATAGTGTATCGTCAATGATTTTTGTCTATTTCATTTATTCATTCTTGTCATTCTTCGTATAAAGATGGCTGACGTGACAACTCGCCCTAAGAAACGCAGCGTTTTCTGGAGGTCCATAATGCCCAACTCGAGCTGCTGCCGTTCCGGTGAACATGCCAGAGTTTACCAAGTCCTCCTGCTCATTCCACTTCTCTTTCTGGCATCCAGAGACCTGCGTCCTGCATCTTATCAGCGAACGAACCACCCCCCCCCCCCCCTCTCGACTCCCTTTTCAAATGCCAAACTCCATCTCATCCAAATCAACCAACTCACAACTCATCCTTCTCATCAACAACAGCAGCAGCAGCCTTGCCCTCCTTGCCCATCCCCTCAAGCCCCTTCTTCACCATCGAGCTCAAAACCTCATACACAACCTGCGCCGCCGCCAACGCCGTCTCCTCCCCAGCATTCTGATACGCAGGGCTCACCTCCACAACATCAGCACCCACCAAATTCAACCCCTCGATCCCTCTCAGAATCCGAATCAGCTCGCGCGTTGTCCAGCCACCGGGCTCAGGCGTGCCCGTACCGGGCGCGAACGCCGGGTCCAGGACGTCGATATCGATGGACAGGTACACGGGGTCCTCGGTGCCCAGCGTCTCCATGATGGATTTGACGATGCCCGCGGTGCCAATCTCGTCAATGTCGTCGGCGGCGATGCGCACCCAGTTCTGCGCCGTGTCGTCGTCGTGGTCGGTGAAGTCCGTGCCGGAGAGGCGGGTGCGCAGGCCCGCGTGGACCGAGGGCTGGCTCGAGGCGTTGGAGAGGAGGCCTTCGTTGCCGGCCATCCAGAACATGGAGCCGTGGTTGAATTGCGTTGCGGTCCAGTAGGATGGGTACTTTGCCGGATGCCAGGTGTCCAGGTGAGCTGTGTGTTTTCATGATATATGTCAGCCATGCCATTCTTTCTCAAGCATCTGTGACGTGATCCCATTCTTCCACTCCGTCTGCCTTTCTCGCTCCAAATCAAGAGGGACACAACAAAACTCACCATCAAAATGCAACACCCTCAACGGCGCCCCGTACGCCTCCCTAAGCGCCCTCAGCGCGGGCAGCGCGAGACTGTGGTCGCCGCCGAGGGTGATGAGCTTCGGCCTGCTCAGCGAACTCGACACGGGCCTGCGCTGACCCAGCTCCTTGAAAGCGGCCGACATCTGCTCCACGGCGACGACGTTGTCCATGGGCGTGACGGGTATGTCGCCGCAGTCGAGGATCGTGGCCCAGTTGGCGTACGGGTTGATGCTCGCGCGCGGGTTGAAGCCGCGGAACGACGTCTGTCTGCTCGAGGCCTGGCGGATGGCGCGGGGGCCGAAGCGGGCGCCTTTTTGAAATTTAGTCAGTATCTTGTTGGCGGTAGCGGTGATTGTGAGATGGTGAGGTGTAAGATGTGCCATTGCGAAGTGAAAGAAAGAGGGGGTGGGGGGGTATTTCCTGCACTTACCTGGTCTGTAACTGACAGCCGTGTCAAACGGCGCGCCGATGATGGCGATATCGTACAACTCGGACGGCGTCGTCAGGCACTTGACGTGCTTGAGATGAGCGAAAGAGCCGATGCCCGTGAATCCTAAATCGACCTCGTAAGCCCCTCAACGTTCTCCTCTCATATCCCAATTAGCTCCCCTCTCAGGGACTGTTACTAACCCCACTGAACAAATATCAAGTCAGCCTCCATTCTTTCATCTCATCTCGTCACCAAGCAGCAGCAAGTCAATGACTTGTGAAGACATCCATCCGACGTACCTCGAAACCCCATTTAGCCTCCAACTCATCCAACTCGGCCTTGGTCCACTCCTTCTCGTCGCCGTGGTTGCCGCACGCGGCGGCCAGCAGGGCCGACGAGCAGCCCAGCAGGAGAGACGTCAACTTCATGACGGCTAGGTCTCGTTGTTGTTCTGTTTTCCCCTGTGATGTTTCCTACACCGAGTCGTTGTGACAGTCACAAAGTGGGAACGGTCGTCAGAGGGGTTGTCAGGTTATGATGAGAATAGCAAGAATGACAGACTCCTCAATTTTGGGAAAGTCTATCAGAAAGGAAAGAAGCAACTCCCTTTTAAAAACGAGGGAAACCGGGCCAAGGTATATCGGGGACCGGAAGCGTTCAGAACGGGTCACACACCTCGACCGGCCCGGCGCGGGCTTGCACGCGCCCGCGCGCCCTTTGTGGTTGTCCAATTCGAATGGCTAGACCGACAACTCGCTCCACGTGTATTCGGGGGGTATACAAAATGGATCTTCTACTTGCAATGAATCCCGCCTATTGCTTGTTCATTATTGGCCAATGGCCATTGCATCTGCCGATATTTCCCCTACTTGATGACCCCCCAAAGTTATGAGCTTACTTTACGTACATGGTGGGACACGGTACTCAGATCCGGACTGTCACCAGGAAAATCCAGGATTAAAGGTGATGATGACTTTTTGTCACTTTGTGGCATTCAGTAAACCCAGCGGAGAACGTCCGGCGGGGAAGGTCTGATGTGGGGGTTGCAGAAGAGCTCTCCCTCAGCCAGTCGATAACGGGTATCTATCGTCCGAAAAGAGTGCGAAGAACCCCGCCGATGCCGGTAGTGTAGACTGAGTGAGGAAATAAATTGTCAACGAATGCATTAGACTAAAAATGCTTGGATGCCGTGCGCCGGGCTCTCTCCAGGATGCCAGTACTAAGGTGAAGGTACGAATAGACCATAGTATGGCGGGCAATGCGGGGTCGGTGGTGCTACGTTCCTGGCCGCCGGCGCGCGGGTGGGGATCATGAGCCCGGATATGTGACTATACGGTATCCGATCTCCTCCCGGGAGGTGGAGTCCCCCGTTAAGATAGGCTCATCGGGGCGGTGGGTGAACACCCTCGAGAGCGGGCGAGAGAAAACCGTAAAACCGTCCAATCGCAAAGGTGCGATATTAGGTGCCCGTTTATTTTATCATCTTCAGCGTCCCAAGTTGTGGTCCGTGGATGAGGTGAAGATGGTGGGCTGCAGAAGGTCCCTGAACCGTACGTCCAGAGAACCTAATGCCATACCTCACATGAGTACAAAAGCGACTCTCCCCCAAGTAACAAACTCCCTAGACCCCTCGAAGCCTGAACCACATCCGGATTTTCCATTATTCCTCTTGAACCCCCCTTGTCTACCTCCATTACTCACGTACTTTAACATCCTTTGCGCTCCCCGCCTCAAATCCTCCAGGTTCCCCAGGGAAACCCCATGAACGCCCTCGTGGCGTTCGCAACGCGTCTCGAACATAGCCTCCGTCACGGTTGCAGACACCGCTACCTAGGCTAGAGACGCGGCACCACGGGTATGTTCGTACGTAGGTAAGCAACGTCAGAACTTGGAACGAGAACTTGGAAAAAGGGGATGGTGTCTGCGCGGATGTGTGTGGCTTCGGAGGCGGGTAAGACAATAACGCCTCCTTCTGCCTCTCTTTCTCTCTCTCTTTTCCGCTTCCCATCCCTCTTCTTTCCACTAATCCACCAGCCGTTCCATCTCTCTTGAAAGAAAAAGAGGCACATAGACAAACCGATTGTAAATACGCACGCAGAGTGTGAGAGAGAGCACAGGCCCAGGAGTCCCTGAGGCGTAAGCGTTTTGAACCATACCAACGCCGTAAACCCCGTTGGGGGAAGGGAAAAGACACAAACGGCACGTTGTCAAGTTTTCCTTAACCGCATCTGTCTCGCATTGATGACCGATTCCATCGGATGGACGACGGCACGCCGAGGCTGCGACGTCATTCTTTTATGCGGTTCCCTCTCTTCCCCCTTCCCCTTCCCCTCCCCCTCCCTACCACCAACACAACTGTACTAGTCCACCCCCCAAAAATCCGTCCTCTTTAACCCCAGACCCCCTCAAAGACTGCCGGACTGTTGCCCAACTCCTTGGGCGGGCACACGCTCAGGCAGACGGGTAGGAAAGCGCGGCCAGTGAGAGTGAGGGGTCGTTGGTGGCCTTTCCACTGGTCATCGCGCGCCGCAACAGAAAAAAAAAAAAAAAGTCAAGTAGAGTTTAAAGAGGGCGCAGCTGGACAATAAAGAACATTCCAACGATAAGATTGGCAACGTCAGGCACCCCATTTGAGAGTTCTGGGCAGACGGAACGAATGTCGGGTAGCTCGCCAGCACCATAGTTGAGCATGCTTTTGGAATTAAAAAGCTACTGCCCACCGTCCATTACTTGCGCGCCTCCAACGTGCGTGCCTTGCTTGCCGTACCTCTTCTTTCCGTGCCCCCAAAACGTGCAGAAAGAGAAAAGATGCGAGTGAACGGATGGCGTGTACCGAGGCGGGCAGCAAGCGGGAATGACTCGCCTCGTCGATCCGATGTTGGAGGCTCTGTTCCGCCCACGCATGTTAAACATCAATAGTCAGTGGGTGATGATCCCCACGCGGCCATGCCCTCCAGCTGATCGGTGCTCGCTCCGCGCGGGTTGTGGCTGTACCTAGATGAAAGATTGCGCGCGTACAGACACTTTGGGGGTTCAGCGCGAAGAAAAAAAAAGAACCATCGATTTAAAGTGCACTCCAATCGCCAAACTGTCCTATCGAAGTATTCCTGCCTGCGTGATGAATTTACCCATCCCTAAATGTAGAAAGAAGCAAGAAAGACCACCAAGATCCGGGCCACAGCAAGGCATATTGGGGGATGCGAGAGGGATGAGGGGCTGGATTTGGTAAGAGGGCAATGGTATGAGGGAGAACCTTGGGAACTGGTGAACAGAATATGGAAGGGGGGAAACGCAGCCCGTCGACTTGCCCATTCGTCCTCCTCGCAGTCCCCAACCAAGATATGCCTAGAAGCCCGGACCGCTGCGGCCAGATGATCCAATCCAAACCCTCGTTGTCGCTGAACCAGGAAGTCCAATCCATTAATTCGCGAGGAACGACCGTTCCTGATCGGTCCAAAGCTGTGGCTGATCAAGACCTAAGCGTGTCCAATGCCATGCGCGCTGCAAAAACAAAAGTTCCAAAATGCCGTTCAAAGATGGGAACCCAGAACCGTTTGCGCGCGCATCTGGATGGCAAGAGAAAATATCCAAGCCTGGTTCTCGGCTTTTCCGCTCGCCGCCAGAGCCAGAACTGGGTGGGCATGGCGGGAGGAAAGCAAGACCCATGCGTCAAGGGGTCCCACGATCAAAGCACAAGACACTTGTGTGACTTCTTCTTCGGGGCAGGAGGCTCCAGAGCCGCAACAATTGCCTGGGGGAGTAGTGTATTAGTAAGAGATCTAGAGCTACGATATAGGCAGGTGTAGGAGAGGGAAGAGTAAAACAGCTGGTCCAACGGGAGAATGCATACCTCGTCAAAGACGTCCTTCAGCTTGTACTGCGTCAGAGCACTACACTCGACGTACTTGACCGCACCCAAATCCTTTGCCATCCGCTCGCCGTCCTCTTTCCGTACCGGAGACATCTTCTGCTTAGAAAGCTTCTCGCGGACGCTGGGGTCCTCGCGCAGATCGACCTGGGTGCCGACGATAAGGCAAGGGACGCCGGGGCAGTGGTGATGTACCTCGGGGAACCACTTCTCGCGGACGTTCTCGAAGGAGGCAGGTGATGTGACGCTGAAGCAGACGAGAAAGACGTCGGTCTGGGGATAGGAAAGGGGGCGGAGTCTGTCGTAATCTTCCTGACCGGCGGTATCGAACAGTCCCAGTGTGTAAGGCTCGTCACCGATCCTGCGTAAGGGGAAAATCCACCATTAGCGAAATGGCCTACCAAAAGTCCAGCAACTTCTCGTCTCTTGCGGCATCTTTTGCCCCCCGAATCCCCATTGTTTTTGATTCATCCATTCGTCGGCCCATCCGCCCTTTGACCATCTCTTGTTAAGACCCTTTTGCCTATGCTTTGTGGAACCTGATCTTGGATTGTTTTGGAGGTGTTGCAGGAGAGGACTCACATAACAGTGACGGCATAGTTATCGAAGACGGTCGGAACGTATTCGGAGGGGAACTTGTTCGTCGTGTAGCTGATGAGAAGGCATGTCTTTCCGACCGCACCGTCACCGACGACAACACACCTAGAGCAGGGCAGAGGAAATCAGTGTTTGTTGCAAGCAAAAGTGGCTAGTGACATGCGCGCTTTGATGGCTGCCCATTTGCCGATCGTCAAGTTCAAGTCAGGATTGGCAACGGTGAAGGGAAGCCTTCCCCAAGCCCTCAGCGACAGGGAGCAGTGGAATCTGACAACAACAGCGACGATGCAGACAGGGCAGCAGCAGGCAGGCAGGCGAAATGGTGGAAAGGGCGACGACAAGCCGTCAGGTGTCAGGTGTCGGGAAGGGGGGGAAAGTGAGAAAATGAAGCCTAGCGAAAAGAGGCTCAAAATGTACGCACTTGATAGTAGCGACGACCATTGTCTAGATCAATGATGTTCCTGTGCAGGAACAGAGACCTGTGGAAAGAAAAATTAAGACCGGTCTCTCAGTCTCTCCCTTATCGCGCGGCGCGTCGTGTCGTGTCGAGTGTATTGTCTTGTCGAGGTCGGGGTCGGAGTCGGGTGTGATTTCCAGGCGCAGGTAGTTGGGGGTTAGAGTGGCAGCGGGCAAGAGGAGTCGAAGCGGGTGGTAGGTAAAGTGTGGTGGTAGTGGCAGTGGTAGTGGTAGTAGTAGTAGTATTGGTACGGAGTAGCAGCAAGGTATGGAGGAGACTAGGAGCAGTGGCGGTGGTGGTTGCCGTTGCTGCAGGGCGGAAAGATGAGGTGGGTAGTGGAGACGGAGAACGGGGTCGAGGTCGAAATGGGGGGGCGACGACGAAAGGGAAGAAAAGACGTGGATTGGGTCGGGTGCCGGTGTGGTGGTTTTTTTTCTTCTTCTCTCTCTCTTTTTCGGTGCAGGTGGTAGTGGTGGTGGTAGTAGTAAGAATGTGAAGGAAGAGAGCAAGGCAAGGGACAAGGTGACAAGGTGACGGCGAGGGACGCCAGCAAGGTAAATGGAAAGAGTAAGGCGAAGGATAACGGAGCCAAGGCAAGGTAGGGAAGGAGCGAGTGAGAGAAGGAGGTGACGACGGGACGGGACCCAACCAAAGCAAAGCCGCAAGGTCAAGGACGTCTACCTTACGCAGTATTGTGTACCTTACGCAGTAGTACTTCGAACGGTCTGGGAGGTCACAAGTGAGATGTCGTCGGGGATTTTTATTTATTTATTTTATTTTAGCAAGGTAGCGATGGCGTCGGCGGTGGTCTCGACACGCTGCAGCGGTGCACCAGCGGCAGAACACACGCGGGAAAGTGGGACACCTCAGCAGACTGCCAGACTGAATCTGGGAATAGAAGGGGCAGGATGGGGTCGGGTAAGGTAGCAGCAAACTCGACCTCGCGTTAGGGGTTTTGAGTTTTTTTTTTAACTCCCTGGATTTTCTTTCTTCTTTTCGTCAAATGAGGTCAGCATCTGGGTGAGAGGAGAGCGAGGGGAGAACAAGAAAAGATGAAGGATTAAGGCAGGTACCTAAAGGTAAGTTGAGTCAAAAGACGGGTGGAATTGACGAGTGTCAGTTGGTGTCAGTGTCAAGGCAAGGCAAGGCAAGGCAATGGGAGGCTGCAGGAAGAGAACCTTGCACACACCACACGTAACTAAGGCAAGGTGCAGAGACAGACGAGACCGAAAGAGTTGTATGAGGCGCGCGAGGCAAGGCATGTGTTGCATGCTGAGATATTGTATGTCTCGACACTTTCAGAATGAAGACACTCGATAACTATCATGTATACCTCTCGTGTTGTCATCTTCGATTCGAATGCAAGGAAACTGAACATCTGCCCTGGGTTGTTTCGGCCAACTATCTACCCGGCGACAACCATACCCACAAGTACTTATTCCCGAGTGCCGTCTCCAAGCCTACTGAATGGAAGGACGAACAAAGACGTCCATCATCTATGTCAGTTGACAGCAAGAACCTGGGCAAGAAGTACGGCTAATAAGCACAGGGCAGGTGTAAAGGGATGCAGCTGCAGTATGTACAGGAACCGTCCCTTCCTGTTTACCCAGGTTCTCGTTCGCAGCAGAGACGTAGACCCCAGGGCACTTTACAAAACCTCGCAGAGAAGTATCCTCGAAGATGCTTACTGTCTAAAGCAATTCGGAATGCCTCACGAGGGCAGCGAATCCCCAATGAGTGACAGGGTCATGAAAAGGGGAGAGAGAGAGAAAGGGGGATCCCTCATCTCTAATCAATGGGCAGTCGAAAAGCAAGCAATTCCAAAGTCTCTCATCTCATCTTTTCCTCATCAAAGTGACTTGTTGCTGGACCAAGTGCCTCGTACCTTGTGCCTTGAGCCTGGGCGTCAGGGTGAGCCAGGCTGGGGACGGGTAGAAATTGGAGAATGCCCGTGTCAGGAGGGTCCCTCTAGGTCTCCGACCTGTTTACCACCACAAGTCCATAACCGCCGCCGCCTCTGCTCTTCTTTGCTCCCGCATCAACGTCAACGTGTTAATTTGGTGTTTGCAAGGCTGGTCTTTGCAATGATTGGGGTTGGAAGGGGTGGTACTGGTCAGTGTTCCAGAGGGATGGATAGCGCCTGATCGGTTGGCGTTGGGGTGCTTGAGATAGCCTGGCGCATTGCTAGCTGGAGGACATGGCCTAACCCGGAAGGTCAAGAACGTCCAGCCATGTTCCCTTGGTCCTTGGATTGTGCGGAAAGCAGTAAGGTATGTACGGAGTACGAATAGGCACCAAGGTATCGAATAACCCAGTGCAGGCCGCAGACGTGGGTTGATGCCGCTGCTGGATTCTGGAACAAATAGCCTGGTCGGGGGTGAGCGGGGCCATCTTCACCAATCTTCCACCTCGCCGGCTTCCATTCCCTTTAATTTGTTCGACACTCACCTCAACTTCCAGGGGTTACGTAGCCAGCGTCGGTGCCATGCCCTGGTCTGCTCGTCTCAGTCTCAAGGACGATTCCTCCCTCCTGTGCTTTCCGCTAATATCAGAAGGGAATGAGATGCGGTATACGGACGGGAGTGCAAGCAGCCACCCTTTTGCCGTCTACGGATAGGTATTTCGTATTAAGGTGAAGGAGGCACCAAGCCAACCCCTCATGCGCTTGTCTTGGATACCGAAAGGTGCGTTTGTTGGTGCCATTGCCGATGTTGCCCGGTACAGCGTGCAGCGTAGTTCTGCCCACCCCATCCGCACCAAGAACCTGGCCCAACGCTCTCCAGCAAGTGCCAGCAAATCTACCCAAGCGGACCTAGGTAAGGTGGTAAGGTAGGCGCGTGGCCACGATGGTGATGAGTTGGACAAAAGTCTTGGAACTCTCGGCTTGATGGTTCCGTCTGGCTCGGGATTGAGGGCGCCGGGCATTCGTAGCATGCTCCTCGTCTTCGTCTTGATCCTTCACCGCCCTCACCGACCACTTTTTTAACCCGTAAAAGGTGGATCGTCCCCCCGTCTTTGAAAGAGCGGCATCCGCTGGCTTGGGTTGAGCTGAGAAGATCTTTGGACCGGCTTCGACTCCAGCAGCAATGGCGTTGCAACGTGCGACTGCTTCTGGTGACCAAGGGACCAAAGCCGCAAGCTGTTTGTGCTTTGGGTGCCAAGTGGTGTCGCGTCTACTGTGTAGTGTACCCGAAGTGTCGAGTCTTGACAGTAAGGTAGCCCAGGTGAGGTATCCGTACGTTGAAAAACCCTCGTCACCTCTTTGCACATTGTGTAGAGGGACTTGGGCCTGAGGCGTTAGAATTCCGTCCCCCACCATTCTCATGTTGCAAAATGCATGTGCTTTAACCTCTGATGAAGTATACGTAACTACGTACCTGGTAAGCTTCGACGAGGAAGGTGCAACTGCAAAGGTAGGCAACCACCTGCCTGCATTTCTACCAAAGGCGCAATAAGGTACCTTGGGTACACGTCTAATCCGCGTAAGTACGATTGATTTGTCTTCTTGGATGAACGTCTATGGCGGGCAGGAGACATCATTGCTAAACCCTACTCGGCCCATCGTCCAAGCTTCTGCAGCAAGTCCCAAGAAGCACACACTTAGAGTACTCTTGCACCAGCAAAGCACGAGCACAGGTAACTCAAGGTAGGCACTGAGTGTGCATCACGGTCCTGGCATCACGCCAGCTAACCCGCATATCGCATTGGCCTTTTACAGTAGGTAGGGATGCTTCCCAACGCACATCTCGCCAAGTGCCGTCTGCTAACGGTTCAATTGTCTCCCTCGCACCTGCCATAGGGGGACCACTCTCGTCCAACTAACAACCCTTTCGCGGCGGAGCGAGGTGGAATGTGCCCATTCCTGTCAGTGCTGTGTGCTCTTGCCACTTTGCAGAGACGCCTTTTCACCAGAACAATATCAGACGATAATAGCCCGGCACCTTGACAGTTACTCCATGACTAGATGAGGTAGGTTTCCTCAACGCATGAAAAAGAAAGGAATGCCCTCATGTCATCAACAACTCAGCTCAGCCCAGGTTTGTCCAGCAGAGTTTTCACCAAAGTTTGCCTGATCTATTTTTCTTCACGTAATCATCCCATGCCTTTCTCCCCTCCCTAGGACCAATCCGTATTGACGCCTCCTCATATCAGCATGGAAATCGTAAGTTCAACCACCAACGCCGGCGTCCCGCCACTCGCGGCCTGCAGCGGCCGTTTATCGAGATGGGAAGGGGGCACCGGATCCAGACCATACATTGCTGCTCTTCGTTAATGCTGCAATGCACTGCGGGATCTAAGCTACTGGGCCCCACCGTCTCAGACCGACACTAATTAATGATCGACCTGGTTCTGAGATGGTCTTCTCGGGCGGATCCGCACCTCCATCAAAAGCAACGCGGACCCAGAATAACATGCCTTTGGGTATTGACTACTCGACTTCGTCTTACGGTTCACATCGAAGCATATTCGTCAATGCCCTTCAAGTAAGACAGGCGTGATACTTACGCTGTCGTGGGTCAACTGTCACTGCCAAACCTCGGGGGGAAAATACCTAGGCTGGATGGCGCTTGGAAGCGTGGACTGACCCTATGTGTGGCTCGTTAACCTAGGAATCAAGCCGGCAATCCCTTCTTTGTCTTCGGCTCGACCACAAGGTCTTGAACCTCGACGTTTGACACTGACACGCAGCCATCTCGTCGCTCGCTCGCGGCGTGCCGTGTCCATTCGATTTCAACCCCTACGCAAGTCTTTCTTCTGCAGTTTGCCGTCCCGGATGCTACCCTCGCTTCGCGATGTCAAAGTGGGCATCGAAACACCGTCAGGCCCGCGAAGTAGCCCTGGGGTTGGACGATGCCTTCCAAGTCATATGGACGACACGCGTTTGAGGCAGTCTCTCATGTACAGGGTATAAGCTAGACGGGAATCCGCAGCCTTCTTTAATGCTTCGATACATCCGTCGCTCACGCTTGGCGTGATGGCCCGGTTTGCTTCCCGTTTTGCATTACGTTGTACGAATACTGTTCTCGATTATTCCTTCTGGTCTTCATCCGAGTCTAATCATTGTTCCGGGATGCGTTCAGAAAGCCAAGCTCCGAGTGCCTATTTTCCGACCATTCTCCTCAGTCCCCCCTACGTTCATCGCTCAGGGTCCTGCGTGATCGATCACCGGGATTACCGACATAAAAGGACTATCCCCGGCTCGTGCTCAACAGATTGGCGCTGACAACGGGAAATCCAAATAGGTCCCCAACAGGCAGTTGAACCCCATGACGGCGTCGGTCTGTGTGGCCATCAATTATCTTGATTTCTGTCCATCGTGTCTTCCTTTCAGACGGCATTCTTCCCTGCTGGGCGCACGGCAGCATTCGACAGCAAATCGTATCCATCAATGTCGAAAGCTGAAACAGGAAGCTATGCCAGAAAGGTCGCATTGGTACGAACGCATTACAAACAACCACCGACCCGACGGCCATCCGACAATAAAAGTACATGGCAGGGCATGACAGGACCCCAGAGGACCAAAGGAGAGATATATCCGTATTACTGAACCCATGCCCTCCATCCATCCGTCTTTGTTCCCGCTTTGTTTGCCGCCGAGCCTCGACATCGCCTCAGTCCCTTTGTACGTGTGTTCTCACGTCACCGTTGCTGTCGCATCAGGTTTCCTTGCACGCTTGTTTGCTCAGCCGTTTTTTTCTCTTATCTCTTTTTGGGAAGCGTTGTCTTGGCAGGTGGCATTACCCGTTGGAATGTCTTGACCTTGGGATCGTCGCATGTCAAGAACTTACACGGGGAGTTATTTTGATTAAAAGTCGCTGGGCTGGCGGCTCAAGGCGGACAAGCCCAAAGTAGAGTGACTTGGCCCTCATGATATTAGAGTATTGTCTTAGCGATAAAAAAGCGCTAAAGATGATTGAAGTAAAGTACAGGTACCGATAGCCGCAGACTTGGGTATTACAGTCCCTACCTGAGGTACCTACGCAGTAAGGTAGCTCAGGGCTACCCCTGCATGAGAGTACCGTTCCTTCTGCGCAGATCATCGCTCAAGCCACAAATTTCCAACGCATGTGAGGCCACAGCCAACAATCAACCTCATGCATAGCCCTACGGGACCACCTCATCTTCATCGCTCAGAGTCAGCTGTATAGGCAACCTCGGCGACACAACACGACAGGTCTTTACCTACCCGTACGTGCTTCTGAGTCCCCTTCAGCCGGACGCCTCAGCCACAGCAGCCCGACCCCTTGCATCTTTCAACCTCTCCCATAGACTCTTCCCGCCTTTCCTTGCTGACCCTGAACGCCCCCGCCATATCTGATATCCCGCACTCCTCGCAACTCACAACCCAACACGCCAAGGCAGACAAGACAATGGAGACGAACCACATCGATAGCCTCCTGGAGCGCTACCTCGTCCTGCTGGACGAGTACACGGCCTTGCGCGAGCGCCTCAGCGGGACCCAGGCGGGCATATATCAGAACATTGCACGAGCCAACTTCTCCGCGGAGAGGGGCGTCCGTTACGGGCCGGATTACTACGACGAGCGCATGCGGGCTTCGAGGACCCTCGAGGTGGCTGTGGATGACACGGGTGTTCCCCATTTTGAGGTTGTCAAGGTTGCGGAGGGGGGTGATGCTGTGACGGACCCGAAGACGGAGGCCACGGAGGCTGCAGCGGCGACGGCGACGAAAAATGATGATGTCGATGAAGCCCCGAGCGTGGAGCCGGAAGGGGTAGCCTCCGTCGGTGGGGGGCAGACGGAGAAAGAGGCCGAGGAAAAGGATGAGGCGGAGAACGAGAAGGAAAAGACGAAGCAAAAGAAGAAGAAGAAGAAGAGTAATGATCCTCTTCGGTGGTTCGGGATCCTGGCGCCGATGCCTCTGAGACAGGCACAATCGCTCTCGGTGCAGGCCATGCAGGACATCATACCCCGGTTAGTCTCGGTGGACGCCGAGATGAAGGATATCGAGATCGAGGTCCGCCGGGCGAGGAAGAGGCGGGCCAAGGCTGAGGCTGCGGCGTTGAAGAGTCATGATGTAGATGAGGGCGCGGAAGCTGTTCGGCGTGAGACACAAGCCCCGATGGCTGCTGTTTGAGTTGATGTGAGGGGGTTTCAATTCTTTCATCGATGGAGATTTCGATATTGGTCTGTAACCATCAATGTGAAGTTTTCTCTTGAGCCGGGAAAGCTACGAACTCTACAATCCTTTTGTTCCTCGCGATGGTTTCGTCTAGGCTGTAGATTAAGAGTGTCCCTTTCCAGGCGAGAATATGAAAAATCATGAACCTACTCAATCACCTTACTTGGGGATAACGATATCTGATTATGATTTTCGTTCCCTGCCCCGATTCCCCTGACGTTCAACCCCCAATGCCCCAGAACGACCTTCCTGAGTGCAAGTCACTTCGTACAACAAGTCAGGTAGAGGGAGAGAGACACTGGTCTTTTTCTTTCCATCATGAGTCAAACTTGGTGCAGGATTCCATTACAGTTAGCTCAACTGAATCCTGGCACCGTGCAAGTCGCATAGCCCATATCTACCTACATGTGAGGGTGGTTTACAGAAAATTGGTGTACTTCATAGACACACCAGGATACTTTAGTTGATGGATAATTTCATCTATCAACCTCGCAGCTTCATGGCCAGATTTTCTCAGCATCATGTGGGCGGGTAATCACTCAAACCTTTGCTGGGAAGTTATAAGTCTCTTGCCACGTATGTCTGCACACTTGGATTCGCCGGCTACAAACGAGCTAGTTGTCTATGAAGCTGGAAAACTAGCGAAGTCTATCTAGCGTCTGTAGCACATCGTCCAAGGACTCCCTCAGCGGGTCATCCGAGCCCAAGTGTTTCTCAAGCTGCCCAGCTATGCCCAGCACGGCGCTCGTGGAGTGTACGTAGCGCTGCCTCATACCATACGGAGCACCCACCAGTAACGCGGTGGTGAGCTGGAGAGCTGCGATGTGAGCCTCCTGTACCAGCGCGGGCTGCTTGGCTTCGGGAGCGTGCCAGGCGGCCACAGTCGTCACGAGGGCCATCCACTCTTCCCTCGATCCGGTTTCCTCGTCCTCCACGATCGGCAGAAGGATGCGGACAATCTCGATGGCGCGCGCGGCTTCGCTTTCGTCGCTTGACGTGGTTGTAGATCGTAGGATGGCCACAAGGTCTTTTATCAAAACGTTCCAGCCGTTGTGTGTCGTGAACTCTTCCAGCCCAGCTTTCTCGACTAGGATCCCCTCCAAACCTACTAGGATCGGTGACCGGAAGTCGAGGCTTGACGGTGAGCTCGACTTGTAGAGGTCGAGGAACATGTCCGTCAGCCCTGCTGCTTCCTTCCTCAGCAGGTCGTTGTCGTCCTCGCGAAGCCAGATGGCCAGGGCTTTGACGGCTGCCAGGATCAGAGGGTCCTCGTGAACGTTGCTCTTCTTTGACTCCCAAGAAATTGTCAGTCTCTTCCCCATGGAGGTGTCGGTCTCCTTTGCACGCGCTTCGGGGTGTAGACCAAAGGCGCCTGCCACGGACGCATCCCACCTGTCTCGGAGGAACTCGATTGCGAGGGACAGGGCCTCCGAAATTGTGCGACGGATCTTTAGCAGAAAGTCGGGAGGCATTACTAGCGCAGCTGGCGATGAACTCTCATCGTCGAGGCTCTTCACTAGATAGCCAATGAAGTGCGTTGTGACGTCAAAGGCCGAGCCCAAACGTTGTGCGATGGCTGGGTATATGGGATCATTGAGAAGCTCAAGGAGGCGGGGAAGACTCGCTCTGGTGTCGGTGAGGAGGAGAGTGATAAATAGATACGAGAACGGCTTATCATCCTTCTCATCGCTGGTGAACAAGAGTTTTGATGCTTCTGAGGGGTATACCTCAAGCAAGGATGCAGCCGCAATGGTATAGGCGTTCCTTGCCTCTGGCGTAGGCCGGCTGGCAAGAAGTTTCTTGATGAAGTCTGTAGATGTTTTGATCCACTTTGGGTTCGATGGCAGGGACTATTCAAGTGTAAGTCAGCTGCCTGTATTGTCGTAAAGGGGTAACTACCTTGGGATCCGAATTTCGCAGAAATTTGCCGAGGAACTCGAGCAAAGTAACACCATCCGTGCCGTTGAATGTCGACACCAGAGCTTGAATGGTCCTGTCGATCTTGGACTCCAGTACGATCCTGTCTTCTGCAATGTCCATGCAGTTGATCCAAGCAAAAGAAAAGATCTCGAGAGCAGATGGGTTGTTTGGGGCGACCTCAACTAGGGGAGTTACATCCTCGATGTCGAAGAACACCTTTGCTCCTTCAGGAAAAGCGACCATGGTGAGAAGGGTCTGGATAATCATCTCAGAAGTTTCTCCAGAGCTAGATATATTGTAAGTGTATATCCCAAAGTTTTCTCTATAGGATAGTGGCATACCTCCGTAGCAAACTGGACACCAAAAGAGGCATTCTTCCAACAAGTCGTTTGTCTCTTTTCGCTTGATCTGGCAGGAGTAAAGCAAAAGTGTGAATAACTGATACTGAAAGGTCCAGCATGTTTTTTGCGTCCTTCTGGCCAGATTGCGTAGATGAGCCTGTCTTCAGCAGCCGGTCTAGGAACTTGGGGGATATGGACTCCCAAAGACCCGAGACGGTGTCCGCATCGTTACGCAGCTCCTCCGAGCTGTCGAGTACACTTTTCAACAGAGCTAAGCCAACGAATCTAGAGGTGTCATCTTTGGCCTTCAACATACTCTGAATTTGGTCGAGTGATGCGGTTTGCTGCGTTCCCGGCATCGACTGAGAGACATCAGGAGGTGCTTGCGCCGCGGCGGACTCCGCAGGAGCTTGATCTGCCATGTTTACGTCTTCTTGTTGTCGTCAATATTCCCAGGCTTCTGCGCCGAGGCGATCATAAGCTCAGAGAACGCCAAAGGCGGGTGAGACAGCGTGTAAGTCGAGTGTCTGAGTTATTGGTCTGCAAATCCGGTGGGCACCACAGGCAAGGACGACATGCGCTACAGCCTGGCCTTCAAAAAAATAATGGGCTGTCTTGTTCGAAGAAGTGTGCGATAATTGCAGGCTGTCAACCCCACAGAAAATGCGCAAGATGCCAAGATCAGACGAAAGGATGCTGTCGTGAAAAATTGCCCCGCGCTGAAAGACCTAGATCGCTGAAGGAAACCCCCCACCGTCAGATGCATTCCATCAACAAGACCCCTGCAAGTGGTCCCCTTGACCACTTGCCCCCGGTGTCGCATCAGCCGCAAGACGGACCGCAAGGAGGCCCGAGCTTCCACACCGAGTCAGCCACACGCGGCTCGTCACCGAACAGGTATCCATCCGGCGACGGGGAGGTGATACCGTTTCCGTCCTGTTCAAGAGAACCTTCAAGCGACAACAAGATGGCTATGATCTGAGGATACTGGGAGTCAATGTCGCCAGATTCGCACCATGGCCGGTCCTGTACACTATGATTCGTCCGCCTCGTCCTCATCGCGTCCGCTGAACAGTGGCGCCGGCAACAGCAACAGCAATACAGACCCCGCCGATCGAGACGAATTGGACTTCTGGAGCGAAGACGAAGACGTCGCCGATGTCCTGATCGAGGACCCGATCCACGAGGACCTCGACGAACCCCTCTCCTTCAAGCGAAAACAGAAACAGAACGCTCTCTCAGCTCCGAGTCGCCTCTTGTCCGTCTTCACCGGTTCGCGATCAGGCACTGCCTCCCCTCACTCCTCGCCGCGAGCGCGAACGCCTACCCACGATCCGAACCGATCACCACGGAGAGCAGGCGCACATGGCGCTGCGAGCCAGGGTACCAAAGATGGCGCGCCGCTAGATTGGTACGTGGAAGGGCCGGGAAGGAGAGTGGGATACGAGGATTTGACGGCCATCGATTGGATTTTCGAATACACAAAGGAGCGTCAGCGTCTGCGCGTTCTCCATTCAGGGGCGCAAGGGTTGCTTGGGCTTTTCAAGCAGCTCGTAGACGCCAGTGAGGTCTGGATCATTCTGATCTTGACTGGCATGGCTGTTGGCGCTGTTGCTGCTGGCATCGACATAACGACCGACTGGCTAGGCGACCTGAAAACAGGGTACTGCTCCAGCGGCCCAGAAGGAGGCGCATTCTACCTGAACAAGAACTTTTGCTGCTGGGGATACAACGAGATGTCAAAGTGCGGCGGTTGGACACCCTGGGCGAAAGCTTTGGGGGTTTCTTCCGGCGGTGGAAAGTGGTTCATAGAGTACTTCTTCTTTCTTGTCCTTTCTGTAAGTCTCGCGCTCTCACAACCTCGCGCCTCTTCGCTGATGAGTTGAAGGTCATCTTGGCATCTGCCGCAGCTATGCTAGTCCAGGAGTACGGAATGTATGCCAAACACAGCGGTATACCCGAAATCAAGACGGTGTTGGGTGGTTTCATTATCCGAAGGTTTCTTGGCAGCTGGACTTTGATCACCAAGTCATTAGGTCTGGTAAGTTATAAGTTCGCTCCTCTCGTTCGTACCATGTCGACTAATCCATACAGTGTCTTGCGGTTGGTTCAGGCATGTGGCTAGGCAAAGAGGGACCTCTGGTTCACGTTGCTTGTTGTTGCGCCAACCTCTTTATCAAGCTCTTCAAGAACATTAACGACAACGAGGGTAAGCCAAGCTTGCAAGGCAAATCGCGATTTTTACTCATGTCCCGACAGCTCGAAAAAGAGAGGTCCTCTCAGCTGCTGCTGCCTCTGGAATTTCGGTCGCTTTTGGCTCGCCAATTGGAGGAGTGTTATTCAGTCTAGAGGTTGGTACGACCGGGATTACTCCCCGTTCCATGCTAATCGCATACTAGCAACTTTCATACTACTTTCCGGACAAGACCATGTGGCAGAGTTTCGTCTGTGCCATGACTGCTGCCGTCGTTCTGCAGGCATTTGATCCGTTTCGCACCGGGCAGCTTGTCATGTACCAGGTCAAATTCAGCACGGGATGGCACGGCTTTGAACTGATTCCATTTGTCTTCCTTGGCATCCTTGGTGTAAGTGCATACCGCCGTTAGCACATGACCTCGACTAACAATCTGACAGGGAATCTACGGTGGCCTCTTCATCAAAGCGAACATGGCCGTAGCACGATGGAAGAAGAACACGCCGTGGCTGCCAGGGCCCATTACCCAAGTCGCTGCGATCGCCCTTCTGACGGCGCTCATCAACTATCCCAACCATTACATGAAGTTCCAGACCTCGGAACTTGTCTCCAACCTTTTTGTCGAGTGCTCCAAGTACGTCGACGACCAAATCGGTCTCTGTAAGACTGGGGCTGCATCGGCACCAACTATTGTTCTTCTGATATTCGGGGCTATCCTTGGTTTCTTCCTCGCCACCATCACGTTCGGCCTCCAGCTGCCTGCTGGCATTATTCTGCCCTCGATGGCTATTGGAGCCTTGACCGGCAGAGCCGTGGGCATTATCATGGAGATCTGGGTAACGAACCACCCAACGTTCTTCGCATTTGCCTCCTGCGAACCAGATGTTCCTTGCGTAACACCGGGAACATATGCCATCATCGGTGCGGCAGCTACGCTTGCCGGCGTCACTCGAATGACGGTCTCAATTGTTGTCATCATGTTCGAGCTCACAGGAGCTCTGACCTATGTTCTCCCCATCATGATCGCTGTCATGCTGTCTAAATGGGTGGGAGATGCGTTTTCCCGGAAGGGAATTTATGAAGCATGGATCCACTTCAACGAGTATCCCTTCCTGGATAACAGCGAGGAGATGGTCATTCCCGATATTCCCGCCTCGCAAATTATGACTCGCATCGAGGACCTGGTTGTGCTCACCGCGACCGGCCACACTATTGGCAGCTTGAAGAATATTCTCGACACCCACACGTACCGAGGGTTTCCTGTTATTTCAGATCCACGTGAAGCCATTCTGCTGGGATATATCTCCCGTGCAGAACTTACCTACAACTTGCAAATGTGTTCGCAGCCACCGCGATCGCTTCCGCCCGAGACGGAGGCCTTCTTCTCTCACCAGCCCCTCGCGGACCCACGTACGACTCTCGATCTTCGGCCGTGGATGGACCAGACGCCCATCACTATGGCGTCAAGGTCTAACCTGCACCTTGCCGTCAGCTATTTTCAGAAGCTTGGCCTGCGCTATGTTCTGTTCAGTGACCGCGGTGCTTTACAGGGTCTCTTGACCAAGAAGGACGTGTGGTACGTCCTCAACGGCGCAGAGGAGACGCGGCGGACGAGCGGATTGTCGAGAGGTATGGGTGTCGAGACCGGCCTCACGAGAGAGGGCGGCGGTGGCGAGCATCAGGGCCTATTGAGGGACGACGGGCATGAGGAGGGAATTAGCCCGGCAGAAGATCGGGGACCGATTTTATAAGATAGGGTGTTGTCTGGCGATAGCGAATGATTGTACGGATACTTTAGACACATACATGCATAAATGGGAACTTTGAACTTGGTAGATTTGATTATTCGCCTGGGCTGGCGCAGTCTATGCGAATTTAGTACGCCTATCCAGTTGAGTATATGTTTCTCTTCGAACATCAAGTCACGAATCTACAGCCAGAAGTCATCGGGCTGATGAGTCTCGCTTATTTTTGATGTCCGCCGAGCAATTGCTGTCCAGTTGAGGAAGTCTGGATCGAAGTGTGTAAAATCATTGGATTGTGTTTTACACAATCTCCTAGCTACGGTTCTCTGCCTCCTTCGTCTCCCTCCGTCACCGTGTATTCCGCCACACCACTACCAAAATGCTCAAGGACAGAGTGTTCGAGATAGCAAGGTGGTACATATGCACTGGCTGAGGTGTTTTGAAAGCCCAGAAGAACCAAATATGTTACCCAGAAGAAGCCTGCAGGCAATGGCTCTCTTTTGGAAGGTCACTTGGTAGAGATCAATCCATCTGCCCAGCGTCTTGGCCACGGCGTGTGGTATGAAAAACTAACCTCCTTTAAGTACTGCTTCTGGCATTGATGGTATTCACGATCCACTGCAGTGGACAGATATCATGCCCGGGTTCCAAGAAGATCTAGGAATGATGTGCGATTGCTTGAGTTCTTGCGCAGACTGGGCACGAAACCACTGCCGCAAATTCCAGATTGGAGGCCAAGAATTGTCCGTCACATCTCGCGGGTTCAGCTAGATCCGCGACGTTGCTTGCAAGATTCTATGCCATTCTCATGGTACACCCATAGATCCGAACGGCGTTCTTTTGATCCAAACCCATGTATTTGATCTACAACAAGGAATGCCCAAATACACCACTGCCCTGGATAATAGAATCCTCCTCTCGATACAGCACATAAAGAGAGCGTGGGAGAAAAAACCAAGGACCCCGTGTCGGAAAGCGACTTTACCCATCTCATGAGTGTATTGTGGTCACTGTATCTAGATAAATATCCGTTGATTTAATAGCCTGACATACATGGCCTACCTTACGCGTATGCCGTTTGCTTCAAACAGACATCATAAAACAATGAAAGTAAATTCACATCCATGCCCAAGACGCGAGTTTAAGTGCTTCTCATACAACCTTCCAAAGCTACCAGTTCGGAAATTCCGAAGTCACGCCCTACTAGGCCCATAAGGGAACCAATCGAAGTGGTCGCGAGCATTATCCTAATCCGGGCTCAACTTTCGGACAGAGATTCAGACATCACGCCACTCCTTGCGTCTTTGTCTCAGCAATATACGGGACGGCCATCTCTGTGTTGGTCCCCTCACATCACACAACATTTGAGCATGATGGCATGCTTAAAACTCCGAGGTTCTGTCCGACGTACATCAGGCTAGCTAGTATGGCAAGGTGAGTCGAATATTTTGAGCGGGATGGTTAGGGGATGGAAGTCATGTTGAATATGATGTCCATTGGTTTTCACATGCGTTTCTCTTGCATTCCACTTCCTCGAGCGTGTAGTTGTTCAGCAGCAAAACTCGTTCAAAAGACAATCTCTAATAAGACCACAAATATGGGTTCCCCAGCCATTTTCTTCAATGGCGACGAGGAAGGCAAAAATCAATCACAGTCGTCTCTGTGCGATGAAAGAACTGAAAAACATCCCTTATTCCCGCTTTACATGGTTGGAAAATATCACCCACATGGCTCGTAAATGCTCCCTATCAATACAAAGCTTAAACAATTTCTTCGCAATACATTGCTAGTGTTCCATGACGCTTAAACAGCAGAAAAGACAAAAGGGGTATCTTGAAATGCAGTCTGACCAGCCCAATACAAAGTCTTGAAGTTCATGCTCGTGGCAGACCCACCTCCCTGCCCATGAAAAAGGCGGGCGTTTTATCGACGCCTTGCCTTACAGAAGAGAACCGGGGTTGAATACGCTGGTCCGTTAAAAGCCCCATCATTCGAAGTGATCCCGGGAGGGCTACGTCGACCCGAGAGCCATAATACACCACCGCGGCGGTGTCCAGTCCGGAAATAAGTCGCAAACGGCCTTCATCGCCGCCTCCATTTGCCTCGCCATCTGCTGCTCGAGCACGCCGTTCGAATTCGCAGGCACTAGCTCAACCTCGTCGTTGTAGACGGGGTTTTCGTCCCGCGGCACGAAGACGAGCTCTTCCAGCTTGGGCATTCGCGCGCGGATCTGCTTGAGGACCTCCACCGTTAGGTTGGCGGCGCTCATGGACTGGTACATTGTGTCGACCCAGAAGAGCGAGTCGTTGATGGCAAGGCGGCGCACTTGTGAGATGTCTTCGGGATCGCAGAGGGCCATGACTGTGCGAAATTGCGCCTCGGAGGCCATGTAGCCGTCGCGGGCGCCAAAGTAGAGGACATCATGGGCCTTGTCGAAGAAGATTTGGCCCGGGTTGCGCGTCATGCCGAAGCTGAGGTGGTACGACTTGAGGGCCTCAAGGCGGGATTCATGGCAGGCGTGGAGGTTGGTGGGTACGGCTGTGTACGAGGTACACCCACTCGACGAGGGCCTTGGTGACTGGGCGTGGGAGGCGAAGGAGAGAGACTTGGCACCGCACCGGATGGGCACAACCCGCGGTGGTGGGAGGTTGAGGTTCCAGATCTTGAGGCGGAGTTCTACGGGCAGCCTTGGGAAGGGATGCTGTGATGTCTTCGGTCAACGGAGCTGGGCGCGGCTACGGGCTATACGGGAGATCGACGAATCTAAAACGTACAAATTGGGTTAAGGACTGAGGTGGTATCGCTTGCGCGGGGCAGCCGGTTATTCGCGTTCTTGGAGCGGAGGTTATCGTGATGGTTGACATGATCTGTATGAAGCGAGGCCTGGCGCGAGACTAGGAGAATGGTTTTGCAACGTCGAAGTCCCGCAATGTGAGAATGGATGCCGAGAAACGAACGGATGTGTTTGTTAGGCCAGTGCGGGACACGACGACAGGTTGTTGGAGGGGTGGCAAGCGTGAGTGGTTATTATATCGGCCGCGACGCCGCGGGTACCAGCGCTATCCCGGGCAAACGATACAAAGGATAAAGGATATGCCTGCCAGGCTGCGTCCCACAAGGTCCAAAGCGACCCGAGACATCATTAGACTTCTTTGACAAATACCCAGCCCCGGTTCTCCTCACAACACTGGGGTAGGAGGGAAAGCTATGTGCATACCATCTTTTTCGTGATTCATGACCACTTGACGAACACACCCCCCAGACTGCATATGTGTGTCAGGGAAGAAAGTGTGGCGGCCCAGAACCCGAGGCTTTGGGTCGGGGCGACCAGGGGTGTTCGCACTGCTGCTCGCAGGATTCTGACGGTCATTTCTCCCATTGCAGTTAGAGTGTCATCGGTGACAGAGTACTCCGTACTCCGTAGTCAATTGTCAAAGTGGTCGGGAAGTTCGAGGGCGGGGTGCCGATCTAAGGGATGGTCAACATCCGTCTGCACGATAGAACTGCAGAGGTATTGACACTGAGCCATGACTTCGGGACTCTCGCAATTACAATGATATTCAGCCGTATTCGAGCCAATGACGTTCGATGTACCCTTGAAGATGGGATACTCGTTAATCTCAATGTGAGAAGAGTGTGAGAGGTTCTCTGCAATGCAGGTGAAATGTAGAAGCCTTGGGAGTCTCGAATTCGGGCCAAAGGGTGCAGATCTGCGGGAGCGCTGCTAGGAAAGCCAAAGCGGTGCGCATTGTGATGGGCCGGACCCATCAGGCACATGTGAATATGCTGCGGATAGACAAGGAGGGCTTGCTGGGCCTGGTTAGCACCTCTGTGGGCAATCAGGATTCCCGTCCGCTGTTACCTGTTTTCCTGAGTTTTGTGTGCCTGTTTGGTCCTCCCGGAAGTCGAAAGAAAGGAATTCGACCGGCCCGGCCGTAAGTTGGTCTGTAGATCATTAGAATGCAATGACGGGTGATGAGCGCCTGGTTGGTTCCAGTCAGTTGGGCTGAGCCAGGGGTCAGGGGTCTGGACAGGGGATGTCTCGGTGGTCGCTGCAGTCTGCTTATGCTGTAGTCTGTGTGTCTGTGTGCTGAACCAGGGCCTTTCTGACGAACCATTGAATTTGAGTGGTTCTCAAGCGTCGTATCCCTCGCTTGGCTATAGACAATCTCAGCTGAAGCGGAGTACGTAGTCCCGTCCTGGTCCGGACTTTTAAAGTTGCTGTATTGGATGACATTCAGAGAAACCCTGCTGCAAGGAGGACAATGTCGCCTGTCAAAACCCAATGATACTCTGCAATTCGCACAAAGAGGCAGAAAAAAATATCGCGTCTGCCATGCGGGACATGGATCAACGACTGACTGACCTGCTGCAATGCGTCTTGATGGTGCAACAGGAGTCAACCCGAGCATCTGGGACACCCAAACCCAGAGGGATGGACTTGGGAGCCGTGCCGCAGTGAATCCCCGTGGCGCCACGGTGAGACTTGAGTCGGCGATTCGACCTGTCACTTCGTAGCCGACTTGAATTGGCGAACCGTCACCCCACAGTCTCTGGCTGCCGAACTCCGAGTCCTGGGCCAATACTTGCAGTAGCCAGCTGAGTACGGTAGCCATAGTGCTGTTGTTGGCAACCTTGAGACCTTTGGCTTTCGCTAATGTGCTGACGATGGCTTGCTCGACATTCCACACCCGGTGGACGTTGAGAGCCAAGCACCTAAACTCTCGCTTCCCGCCGATGTGCAGTCACGTCTGCCAAGTTCGTCGTTCGCCAACTGAAGACTGGTTCGCTAGTCTATCCAAACTGTTCTGACACCCTGGACGAGCTGGGGTATCAGCTAGGTTCGGCCGCTGGCCCGCTACTTTGTCCGTTAATGGCCCGCGGGCTAGTGCAGACAATTGTTGACATGCGGAGCAGTCGGCCCTACCCGGCGGACGCCAATGTCTCTTGCAGTGGAGGCCAAGAACTAGGCCGGACTGGGCCCAAAGACACGTTCGTCTTACCTACCTGTGAAAGACCTTGGGACGAGGCTGGTGCCGCAAAGAGCTTCGTGTGCCGGCTATAAACAGACATGGAGTTCGGATCAATGCTCTCTAGTATCATACAATGGCCGCTATCCGTGTCTAGGGGCCGCTGTAGGTAGTCGTCATTTCTAGTCCGACATGCCGGCTTATTGATGGCTGCAGAGTTTTGACAGCCCCAACATCAGTTTGATCACCGCAGCCGGCTGCAAGATTGGTACAGCCTCATCTGCAAGCCTGCAGTTCTTCTTGTTGTATGTACGGATACAATTGCTTGCTTAGCTCATCCTTTCGTGGAGGGGTCTGATACCCTGTCATCCAGACGCCCCTGGTGATGTGGAATCATTACCAACGCTCTCGGAAGGTGGAAACGCCATTGGCTGAGCAGTATGCTGCATGTCGCAGCTCAGAGATGAGACACACTCGTGGTCATGGAGAGTTCATCGCAATCCAGCCTTCAGGAACGAGCATGTCGGACAACGTCGCAGTGACCACCAGTTGTCTCGTCCAAACTCCGTGCCCGTACTCCGCAACCTTGTAGTTCCGTGTCCGTATATGTCATCAGGCCTCAAGAAGAGAGACCAACAGCACGCTTCACAATCTGACGCTCAAGTTGGGCAGCTTTTCGTGAAATCCAGCTGGCGAAGTTGTATATTGGTTTTGCAGATACGAAGGAGCGCGTTTCTTTTTCGTCGGCGTCGGCGTGGGATGGAGTGGATGGTAAGCCGTACCAACCTACCTTATGGAGATGCATAAGGTTAACTTGACTCGCCAGCTGGTGACGCAGCTAACCAGTTGTCAATGGAGTAGGAAAGAAGGGTATCACGTGATGACTCCATTTTCCCCACGGCACTTCCCGCTCATCAGGTGAAAACAACAGAAGCTTACCTAAGGGAAGTCGCCTGGCCTGGATCAAGGATGCCGGGAGTGCATTTCATCTCCACTCTTCCCGCTTGACGTGAGCTTAATCCTCGGATTCCTTCTCATGGCGGCGGCAAATAAGAACCTCCAACACCAAAATCTCATTCTATTATCACTGACTTGCAGCAACCTCGATTGTGGTCACATCCTGGTCAGCGAATAAGCGTTCTTGTTTCGATTTTCAAAACGAGGTTATCTGCACCTTATCATTGGCCTCCTCCATGGCCTTCCCACCATTTTAAGCGCTGGGGATGACCGCCAATGGGACCGGCATCTGCGGGCTTCTGACCAATGTGAAGCTCACCGGCTGTTCAAGGGTGCCCGGTGATCGCCTCTCTTAGAGCCCTGAGATGTCGCAAGCGCGGCTGTCTTGCATCGGCGCAACGCTCGTCACGATAATTTTGGACATTACCTTTCTTTCCCCATGTGTGTTCAAGATTACGTGCCGTGCCTAGACACGGCACACGGCGCGTATCCAGGCTATAGAGAGGTTGTATATGTACGCTTCATGATCGCACTTTCGTAGGTCTGTGATACTGGAAAACCACACAACTGCCTGACTGCCATCCTGCTTTCTCTTTTCTTACGTATTTTCTTTCCTGGAGATCGTTTCTTACATTACGTCTAGTCATTCTGCATTGTAATACACCTCATTTTACGACAATATTTCACGACTTTCTCTTTAGCCATGTCTTCCGATCTCAAGAACGTCACGCAAACCTCAAACTTTGAGGTCGATTCTGATGACGCTCACTACCCTTCTCACCCACGTCTTCTCAAGACAGTCGATACTGCAAGAGTCAGCTTGACGGCTGTGGCCCTTCTCATGGGCATCACCATCCTTGGTACATCAGCAGATGCCTTGGCTGTCTACGATGCCACCCATGTACCAGCCGGCTTCATGCTTCCGCTGTGGCCGGACGCCTTTGACTTGCGTCCAACAGTCGCGCTCGTGGTTGGGAGCTCCATTCTCATAATCATCAATCTCGTCTCTCTCCTCTTCAGTCGAGTTCAAAGTGTAAGTCAGGTCTGCTTTTTGACATCGTACCTCTGCGGAGTAAGCTCAGACTGACATCAAAAAGCTGCGTGGTCAAACTCTCATCCACAACTCATTGGCAGTGGCCGCCCCATCGGTTGGATTGGTGGCATCGATCATTGCCATGTCCTTCTTCTACAGCGTCAACGCGTCGATCACGGTCGACACACTACAGAGCTGGAGCTGCCGCTGGTCCGATGTTGTGATGATGACGAGGCCGCATTTCGGCACCCTCTGCAAGCAAAGCAAAGCGGGCCTCTACCTGTCCATCCTGCTGATCCCGATCGAGGCCATCATCGTGGGAATGGGCGGCTATCAGATGATGCTCGAGCGGAACATGAGCAAGTCCAATAGAGTGGTACTGGAGCAGCGCAAGTCTGGCAGCCCGGCGCCTTCATCAGTCCGCGACGTCGAGGGCGATCACCACTGAGAAGAGCGGCTGAGTGTTCGTCCAAGAGACCTGGGTCAACGGTCGTCGTCTGCTATGTATCCACAGGTTGGGTCGAGGGAATAAAGAGGGAGCCGGAAACGGAAGATTTCCATTCTTGTAATCAGGCGTCAAGGATGTGTAGTAGTAGCAGAGGTGGGAGCCAACTACGTCACGTATCAACGTAGGTATCCAATTATTCAATGTTTTCTGAAAATTTCGCGTCCCTCGTCTGCAGAGGTGAAGGGCGCTTCTCGACTTGCCGGTACCAACTCAGGGTTTGATCCGATTTTCATCCTTTTAGCAGCTATGCTCCTCGATCGAAGGCTGCATGCGGTATTCACCGAGGTCTAGCAGCTTGAAGCTTGCAGCCACCAGGGGATCTACGAGCCGCCACTCGAGTGTCCGCTGACGCAGGTGTATCCTCAACGTGAATCTAAGTTGGTGAAACCTGAGAAGTTCCTCGATTATGACCGTTTGCGGACGAAGTGCTACTGCACTGGAGTGGATAAGGGTCGATGGAGCTGGCCGCCCCGGCTCCGGCACGGTATGCTTAGCCGCTCCTCTGAGGATATCGGCATCTAGATTTTTGTTGCTACTTGTCCATGTAATCTTCGAGTCTACGCAAAGTAGCAAGCAAGGGTTTGGGCCATAGGCGAACGAGTTTCAAGCTTATAATCTTGTCGGTAAAAGAGTCAAGGTGAAGTCTCGCTCAGACAGCTTGAACCCCTTGATAAACTACAGCAAGTCCCTTGGGCGCTGGAAACCATCCTCCTATCTTGAAGAGAGCTTGTCCCCTATCTTTGAGTTTCAGTGAGACGCCTTCAAGCCACCAAAGACTCGAGAGACAGCCCAACCGAGCGAAGGGTCGTGGGACTCGGGAGTCGCTACACCAAGTTAGACGCAGGACTGACGACCACGGCTAGGGCGGCTAGGGGCTGCCGGGCGACAGGTCGACGCGGAACGATTGGCCCGAAAGCACAGCGCGTGCAGTGTGCTTGGTGAAGTTGGACTTGCGGACTTGGGATGAACATGGGAGAATCAAAATGAGCGCCGCTTTGGCCCTCGACTAACAGAAAGTGGCCGTGAATTCTGCTCATAACCCCATCCTTAGCGTGACCCACCTCTCATCTTTTCTCCGGTACGTACCCTGGCATATCTGCACCTGCACCTGCACCTCCACCTACCTAAGGTAAGGTAGGTGGTTTGCTCCCAGTGCCCACTCATCACTGCCAATGGCTTTCCATTTCCCATGTTTTAGACTACCCGGAAACATAGGCATTCCGTCCAATCTTTACCAACTCCGTCGACCCCAGCAGAAACACACTCGCCTGTTATTAATCACTGGCTCCATTGTATTGACTTATTCGCCTTTGACCCGGCCTCGTTCCTGTCAGGACGGCGCAAGCAGGACCGAAGGATGGAGCCAGACGGACGTGACGGACTCGACTACTTCGGACCAGTCCTCCAACCGTGAGCGTGCCCAGCCAGTCCAGACGGCTCCAGAGCCCAGAGGAAGCAGACTTGCCCCCCCTCCCCCCACAAACCACGCGAAATCAGCAAACAAGACAACTTCTTCCCCCCCTCTCTTGTCAGCGTTTTCCGGATGTCGCACAGTCCATGATGCGGCTGGCCGAGCAGCTGGCTGCGCCGTGCCTTTGACCTTACCCTTCTCGCTCTCGTCTACCGATATCTCAGGCACCACAATCTACTACCGACGTACCGTAGACCGATTTAGGCGCTGCTACATTCCAGAGCGGCCCTCGTGTACTGAACCCTGAATCTGTGGTATCCAGACTGCCTTTGACCATGTCTCTGGCCCATGCCACATTAGCACTGACGGCAGCGGGAAGGCTCCAGACCTGCGGAATCCCAAGCAATCTCTCGTGTCGCAGACATGTAGCTTGATAAGTTGAGGGCTGCAGCGGGCAACACTGCCGAGAATGGCAGAGGTAAGGTATGAATGAACGAAGGCACGGTAGGATGATTGCGGGTTTCCAGGTTGTTCATGTCGTGTGCCACCCACGTCCAAACTCCACGGTCGCAATCAACGGAGAACCCTGGCAACACACACGCTGTAGTCCAGCCGTAGACAGCTTTAGGTAACACGGCCATGCCTCGCCTCCAGACATCGCGTGGTCAATCAACATGAGGTGCAGCCCTCCCACACATTTGCTCTAGAGTAGTTAAAGTAGTTTGTTACCTGGCCACATAAGTTACGGTCTGCTACCGAATCTTTCCCATACCAAACGAAGTACTAGATGAGGCAAGTAGCCCTACCTACGTAACGCACCCTGAACTTAGAGAGCACCGGTATCCAAGTGAGGCAAAAGAAGATGCGAGCTTGGGCAAGCTTCGTCCAGTCCAGTTCAGTCCAGCCCGCTTTCTTTCTCCATCTTTCCTCCTTCCGTTCGCTCTGATCGACCTGTCTTGCGTTGAAACCGGGCTTCGTCAAGTGGGAAGAAAGGCGTAGAGTGCGCATCTGGCCTTGGCTCTTTCCGTTTTCAACCATTTCCTCGCGTTTCTGGGTGGCTAACCGCCTCTGCATCGATTCCGTCCCAACGACTCGCGTCCCCATAGCTCCTCCGGCTGACGACCAGCAACAGCTAGCACCAGCCATCTTCACCTCATATAATAGTCCCCCGAGTCACCAGGCAGTCGGATTCTGTTCTTTTTGTTCGCTCGTCCAGCTGTTTGTTTCCCGTATCAAACACCCTCGGAACTCCGCCTGTATTCCGCCCAGCGCGTCTCGTCCCCTTGCCACATTTTGTAAGATCGGCAAATCGACTTCTATCAGTGGCTGGTCCTTTGCATCGACCTTCTGCGCCTCTATCATCCTTTCGGCGACTGTTTCTAGCCCTAGCCGCCTCGAGTACGAGAGACTCCGTGCGCGTCGACCGCTCGACCTATCTACACTGCACTCTTGACAGCTGAACATATTACGCCAAGTCCAAGGGGAATCTAGTCGTCCAGACTTGCTCAGTTCGCTAAACATCACTCGACGATAGCGGTTGGTCTCTATTCGGTACGTGTTGAGCTAGGTGGTTTATGGGCGATGGACGACACTAACACGGCCGCTACTAGTGAAAGACGCCGTTCCCAGACAGCCACGTCTGATACATCAGCCCAATTCTTAAGCACTGTCGAAACACCTTTATCTCAGCTTCGGGCCTTCGAACATCGTCGCAGAAAATGGCTGACCCTGTCTCCCCGCCTTCTTCCCCTCCCGCGGATTCTGTCACCCCTAGCACGACCAACTCTCACCCACCCGTCACCCCCGAGAACAAACGTCTTTCGCAGGTCGGCGGTATGTCTTTTGCTGAGAGACGGATGAGTCGTCGTCCCTCCACCGCACCCACTCCTATTGTCGAGGGAGACGGTCTTACCAGAGACGTCATTCACTCTTTGCCCGGCGATACTCGCAACAACAACAACAGAAAGTCCAAGACGCAAGCCGACATGGCCAAACGCCGCAGCTCTTACTACGAGGAGGCTTTCCAGGGCGATAGGGAGTCCAATGTGATCAAGGACCGCGCCTATGCCGAGGCCATCGTAATGGCAGAGCTTCGCACCAACGTCATTGTATGTGCTCTCCTCGGGCCACGAGTGGGGAATTTCAACTAATTAATCTTCCTAGATCAACGACGAGTTCAGTTTTATCACGGACTTTTCATACCAGCTGTCGGTTAGATACCAGCGGCCAGTGACTTCGATCGTGGTCAACCTGCAACACGGGGCTTGCATGCTCTTTGGAGGTACCTTTGAACCGGCTTACACCATGTCGATCCACGCATTACCGCTTGAGGTCGGCGTAACCAAGAATAAGAGGAACACGGCTCTGCTTCAGAAGCACCTCCACGAAGCTCTTGGCGTTGCGCCTGTCCGTGGATTCGTCAAGTTCGTCGAAGTCCCTGCGGAGAACATGGCTGTTAATAGCAAGACAACCGCTTCTCACATTGCAGAGATGACCGGCGAGGAGGAAGAGACCATCGCCGAGCGCCGCGGTCGCAACCGCAAGAGTATCAGTGGCAAGGTACGTACTATGAAAACCATGGGTCAATATGAGAGACACTAACAGGCTTGCAGTCCATGTCAGCTCTGCGCCACGGCTCCATTGTCGGAGGCAGGAAGGGCTCTGTCTTTGACTTTAGAAGAGACTCTGTTGCTCCTCGCAAAGATTCAGTTATGCCTCCTCCTCATGAGCTTACTCCCCCGCACAGCGCAACCGACGCGCCTCCGATCCCTCCCATCCCTGAGGCCCACGCCAACAAGACCACGGCCCCGGTTCCCGATGAGAAGTCGGATGCGCCTATCAAGGAAGTGGAGAAGGCACCCACCAACACTTCGGCATCTCTCAAGAAGTCCAAGGTGGCAAAGCGCAAGAGCAGCTTCGTCACTTCCCTGTTCTCTCGCTCTCCAAGGAGCACGCCCGCGCCCATGCCCACCGTAGCATCGTAGACGGTGGCTCTACTTCCCTCTCCCAACTGAAGTCCCTCTTTCTCTTTGTTTTGTATCGTGCTCATTATCGGATCTAGAGCAGTGGTCAAATTGGAAACTTGACGAGGTCAAGAAACAGAGCATTGCATCGATAAAAAGGGAGACGGAGTTCTGCATTACAGCCCGCTCGGGCATGCTGGAGTCATAGTCTTGGAATTCTATCATTTGTAATCGTATCTGTTCTGTCTAATAGTAGGAGTTATGATTGGGAGACAGACTGATCTGTACTCGTCTCAATCAAGCTCGTACGTGCCAAAACTAGGCATTCACTAATTATATCAAACTGATCATTAACCTTCCTTTGGACCATGTTCTTCGTCTTCTCAGTGGCATCCAAGTAATTAGCCAATAGCACTTGAGATATCAAGTGCTATAACTTCTTCGGTGACAGACTGTTTTGCAAATGCTTGCTCAGTCGACGTTGTCCGAGTCTACCGGGCATCATGAAGCCCTGTTGTAAACCTGTATGATGAACTTTGGTATGGACATCTCATTACCGACCTCGTCAACTCGTCAATTGAGGTGGTGGTAAATGCAAGCAAAGCAAGTATGCCTTTTGCGATGAGATGAATGGGGTGACAGTCCAGTCTGATTGAAGTAGGTAGGTACGTTAGTACCCTGGAAGCTGTAAGGTGGGGTCTCGCTTAAATTGCCAGCGCTGCCCACTCAAACGCGCTCAGCACAGGGTTCTCATCTACCTACTCAATGTTTACCTTATCTTATCGCTGCTCCTGCATCGTCATTTCTCCCCTACCACCTTACCACTTACGCAGTACGGATACCTTGGTAGTGTTCGATTGCCTCGCCCGCCCGCCCGCCTTGCCCGCTCCACACGTCTGATATGCAACCTGGAAACGGTCACGGCATACAGACACGCATCCTTTGATAGGCCAGAACCTCTCTTAACATCCCGTACCCAAACGAAACAGGCTTCTTTACTCAGCTTCTCTACAACCACTGTCGGAGGGTCGGAAGGGGTTTTACCAAGCAAGAGCGCGGCACGTATTTTCGCACCTGCCTGTGTCAGAGTCCATTTCGGGAAACGAAAGGGTCCTATCAGCGGCCGTCGCTGTGGAGTGAGGCGACCCAACAACGACTGAGACTCGACAACGATTGACCTGCTCAACGGCGCAAAGCAGGCTCGTCTCGTGTACAAGACGACAGGACTTCAAGGAAACAATTTGGGGAGTCTTGGTGGAAAATGGAAGTGAGTTCCTGCAAATTTCTTAATGTGGTGTTCCTCATTCCCTGCCCAACCTACTGTGGCTCTTTTTACCCTGCCTTTTCATGCATCCTTCACACGCCCTCGGTGAGGCTTCGACACACGAGTCCCGAATACAAGACGAATCAACCAAATGACGATCCGAGATATGCCGACTGAGGTTTGGCTCTTGGTTCGAACGCTCCATAGCAGACCCAATCTCGTTTGAGGAGACAGATTCACTTCTTATACGGGATGGAAGTTCTGAGCGACTCGGACATTGTCAGCATACGCAACGCGTCGGCCTTCTGCGTCACCTCAATGATCATGCTAGGGAGGTCATCGGACAACAGGAGAGCCAGCATGGTTCGTCCGCGGGAACGGATAGTCAAGTTGCTGTCCCTCGTCAGATCAAGCGGGAAGGGCTGAGCCACGGTGTCATGGATGATGTGGTGTCTGTACGACAGTAAGATCAGCATCGAGTCAAAGCTGGTTCAACACTCATGGGCATCGACGTATGATTCTTCTCGAAAAGGAGCCCGCATGAACGCCAGCTTTTTCTCAACTTTCCGCCCCTGCTTTCCAGTCACGTTTTCTGTTACGAAGATGCGCCAGACCTCGAACCGGCAGATCTCTCCTGCGTGTGCCCGTTGATGGCGGTCGTATTCTTTCGACGTGTCTGAGAAAAACAAGCTTTTCAGATTAGGATATCTTGGAGAAGCCGCAAGCGAGTTGATGCGAGGGTTTGCTGGCAGGTCAGCCAGCGAAGCGGAAGCTTTCAGGGCCTCGCTGGCAAAAGTTTCGTTTGAGAGACTCGCCTCGATTCCCGTCACGGATCGTTGTCAGGCTTAAGATCCGGTCGACCTCATCAAAGATTACGCGCAAACATCGAGTGTCCCCTCGGTCTGTGGCATCCATCTTCCCGAGACAGCAACAAACAAAGAAGGGCAAGCAGTCTACAGCGTTGCGACAAGCCCGGCGAGACTATAACTTGCTCACACTCAAGCCCTCGTGACTTGTCTGTATACACGAGTTATGCATCCAAGAAAGCTGGTTGCCTTTCAGCACCATTTCCCGATCCCCTCCCCCCCTTGCGAAATGAACAAATCGCCCCGTTCTATAGATTCCATGCTGTCCCAAGCGGTAGATGGCTTGGGTGTTTCTTCTTACGGGGGCTCTTTGCGAACAAACGGCCGTTTAAGTCCAGCTAGGCTAACACTCCAGCGTGTCTACGATCAGAGTCAAGGAGTGCAGCCGCAGGATGCGAGCAAGATGGTAGAGATGCCTCCGGGCCCCCCTGCAAAGGGCAAGCCCAGACTCCTTTTGATGGGTCAGAGAAGGTATGTCATTCCTCCATGCCGGTGCTTCATATGGATTGCATACTAATTACAATGGCAGGAGCGGCAAGTCATCAATATCGAGCGTCGTCTTTCATAAGCTCCCGCCAAATGAGACGCTTTTTCTGGAGTCGACAGCTCGTATTCAAAAGGACTCCATGGCGTAAGGCCTCAAACCAAGCCAATGTGAAAAGCAACCTATCTTACTAACTATCTTTATCAGATCCTTCATGGACTACCAGGTCTGGGATTTCCCCGGCCAGATTGACTTCTTTGAGAACCCAAACTTTGACATGGACGCCATCTTTGGCGAGATTGGCGCCCTCATCTGGGTCATTGACGCCCAGGACGACTATCTCGAAGCCGTAGCCCGCCTCAACGCCACGGTCCTAAACCTCCAGCGCTTCTACCCGAACATCAACATCGAGGTCTTCATCCACAAGGTCGACGGTCTCTCGGACGACTACAAGCTCGACATTCAGCGCGACATCACCATTCGCATCCAGGATGAGCTCTCGGACCACGGTTTCGAAAACGCCCCCGTCACGTTCCACCTCACGTCCATCTATAATCACTCCATCTTTGAGGCCTTTTCCAAGGTCATCCAGAAGCTCATCCCCCAGCTCGGCACCCTCGAGGCCATGCTCACCAACCTGTGCCGAACCTGCCGCTTCGAAAAGGCCTACCTCTTTGACGTGCTCTCCAAGATTTATATCGCCACCGACTCCGCCACGGCCGACATGGCCTCGTACGAGATCTGCTCCGACTACATCGACGTCATCATTGACATCACCGAGGTCTACGGCTCCTGGCCGCGGTCCGACGGCCAGCGCAAACGTCTCGAGGCCGAGCCCTGGAATGCCAAAGTCGAGGACCAGGTCGCGTGTAACTGGGCCGAGAGCTGCATGGTCCTGCACGACTCGCAGCGGCCTATCATGCTACGCGAGGTCGATCGGTACCTGGCTCTCGTGGCGATTATGAAGGAGGACTCGTATGACCGCATGCCGCTCGTCAATATGAATGTGGAGGCTGTCGTGCAGGGCGTCACGGAGTTCTTTGAAATTACAAAGTCGAGGAAGTGAGCTGGCCTGGAGGGCGTGTGTAGTCTGTAGGGATTGGGCATGTGTTAGTTAGCCACATGCGGCTGTGGTATAGCCATGAGGCTTAGAGATATATACATTATTCCTCCTCGACGTAACTTTCATGCCTCTTGGCTAGAACTTCATGTGACTAATCGATTCAAGTGAGAGTCTTTGGAGCTGGAACTCCTACGTAAAACAGTTTAGCGGGAAATATGAATAGAGCAGAGAGAGGTCTTACATTAAGTATATCGCCAACTCGAAAATGCACGTCTAAGAAGACTGGGTCTGGCAGCGCGACTCTGGGGTCCTTAGAAGTGAATTCTACTGATTCGGGGTAGTTCTTGAACAGGCCGTAGGCGGGATTCCATGCGCAAGACCAGCGAATGTCGTATTTCGTAGTCTACAAGGGTTCAGTTGCGATTCAAGCGTTTGACAAAGACGATGATGATGACTTACCGAACCATGTTGCTGCTCGAACCCGAAATCGAAATACCCGAAATCGCAATGGACCTCTGAATTTATCGTGAACGCGTTGCCAGTCTGATTGATGGTGTCGGGTCCGATTTTTCCTTCAAGTTCCGGGAAGTATCTCCACAGCGCCCACCAAGTCTTTGCATTCGCGCGAGCCTTGATATTTCGTTAGTAGTATCCCATAAACTGCTAGATGGCGCCAATGCCTTTCCGATCCTGTCTCGCTCATATACGCCTGCGGATACTTTCCCAAAAGGGCGGATATTGGAGAAAGACTGGAGACGGATATACTGACGCATCTAGCAGTTGATAGGACAGCAAGGTGACTTTTCTATCAAGATCGAAAGGTCTTACTTACCTCTTTCGCCGTCCGCTTGTCAGAATCCCCAATCAAGAAGGGAATAATACGAACGCACTCCAGGGTACTCATACGGCCCTGAGGCATCATCTGGCCAGAGAAATTCTCTTCCACCCACCCCCTGTCAAAATACTTCGTGACGACACATTGGCCGCCGTCCCGGAGGAGGCAGTCCTGCCTCAACTTTGAATCACAGACATACGACTCGAGCTGCTCGAGAAGTGAATCTGGGCTGTCTGCTTCGGAACTCGAGGACACGATGTCGTCTTCCGTTCTGCGCTCTGAGTGAGTTTTGACTTGATAGTTGTAGCTAAGCGTCAGCTTCGACTCGTAGCGGGGATAGAGCATATAACATACGAGGTATCAAGATAGCCTGGACCAGAAAGTCACGCAATTGCCTCAATTGGACCGGACTGTGTCTGTAACACATGATCTCCGAGAGCAGAACTAATTGTCCCCTGAGTGGGAGTTTGTCTGCAAAAAGACGAAGTACTTGGGTAGTGTCGTCCTGTGTCCCGAGGGGGGTGTAATTCGTGAGCATCTCTAAGACTTCGTAATGTTTCTTGGCCCAATGTTCAGGGTCTGATGATGCTAATGTCAGCTGGCTGTCAATGACGGAGCTGGCGTCTCCATCTCCGTCTGGGTGGTTGGCAATCTCGTCCATGTCGTGGTTGAGTCAGTATTCGAACATGAATACTGTCTTGAAGAAGAGAGACTTATCGGCTGTCGTGATCGTTAGGTTTTGGCAAGTCCGTACGCTGTGTGCCGCCTGCTAACCGAGACTGACGAATGTCTCCGAAGAAGATTTCTGTCATCAAATCCTGGGGTATGGTGGGCAAAGACTTTATGGGAGAAATCACTCCTACGGCAGTGAGACGGATCCAAATATAGGTCTCACTACATATGAAAAACGACTCTTCAAATAGGGAGTCTTCGTAACCTTGGTTCTATGATGTTTATCTCCGTAAACTTAGTCCAGCACACAGCTAACTTATGTGCCTTTCTAGAGCACCTGAAAGCACCTTCTGGTTCAGTAGAAGAACAAGATTTATTACAACCATCCAGGACCTTGACAGATCGTGGCTGAACTTGCCGCCTTTGGAAAATTTTATGGTAGCTAGACCAAGAAGCCCGTTCCACGCTGTCAGGGCACCTTGTTGTCGAGGACATCCAAGCGATTTTCGTATAGAGTCACAAGTACGAGAATGCAGTTTGAATAAAACAGTGTCTACCAGCAGTTCTGCGCTTGCCAAAGTTCATGTAGAAAAAGGAGGGCTCGTGCAATGCTTTTCCCAGTCAAATACTCTCAGTCACTCATTCACCTACCCCAAGTCATGAAGCAAAGGTAATTTTCTCCCTGTACCACTCTGATAAGCCTACTCTCGATGGAACAACTCATCTAGCCTGGCAGCTTCTAGCCTCCGCATATCCAGCACAGCCATGCGTTTCTTGCTGCGCGGCGTAAACCGCTTCGGCGGCACCCTGAACATGTTACCCGGCGACAGGGGCACGGGCAACTTCTAGTCGCCGCGTGCCGCTGCCGCTGCCGTTGCCGTAGACGGCTTTCGCGGAGCGTCCTTGTCATCATGGCCGGACGCGAGGCTGAAGACCCTGTAGACCGAGCGGTTGGCGCCGAGGAGGCACACGCGTGCCGGGACTTCGCCGCGGGCGTTCGTGACATTCTGTACGTCCATCCGTATCGGCGTGAAGGACTGGTCTTCGGGGAGTGTGGTCGTGATGAGCCCTGTCTGAATTTGCTTGGATAAGGGTGTAGAGACTGGTAAGTTGTTCTCTTGGTAGGGAACATAGTTGATGCCGGGAGACTGAATAGGTACCATGATAACATTGGCGGGGTTTCCTAGGGAGAGGTTTAGTGGAAGCCTTACTGATGAGCTATAAGATATGCAGGTCTTGGTGTACCTTGTCTGTTCACGAGCAGGACTAACGTAGTGCTGTCCATGAACTTGACCTCAGCGATCTTGCCATTGTCTACAGATAGAGCAGCAACCGTCGTGGCAACGCTGCTGCTGATACCGTTGATGATGCGGATAGATGTTCGGAATATAAAGACTATCAAGCTGTTAGTGTGAGACTCGGCTTGCTCTCGCGAGAAAGCACTGACACTCTTGGTCGCGGCCCTCTTCAGTCAGGGCGGTAAAGGTGAGGCCATCAACTTCGTCCTGCCAGAATGTCAGTTATACGGGTTGACAATGGTGAAATTTTAAGACTTACGTCTTGTCGTTCTGAGCACATGGTAGAGTCAATTTTTGCAATTTTCTGGCCCAATCCGATCTTTGTCGGCTGACCAAATCGAACGCTCCTTTTTTGTGCCTCGGCAATATCCTTGAAGACTCCATTTACGCGGACAGTAAGGTAGTCGACGAGGAAGCCAACGTTCGGGAAGGCCTTCAAATATGCTTGTCCCTCTTCCTGACGTTTGAGTTGGGTATCTAGCTCTTCGAGCATTGACGTTCCGCTTTCAGCTCGTTCCCAGTTCGCCGAGTAATCGTCTGTGGCTACTTCGTCCAAAAATATGGCCATGGGGCTCTCGACAAGGTAGCGCTGCACGTAGACAAGAACCTTGCTGTTCTCCATTGTAGCCTCCTTCTCTGTCAGTTCTTCGCTCGCCGAGTTTGGGGCCGCAAAACGGTCAATCTGGAAGCGCATCCATGTAGAGAAGGCATGGAAGAGGTCCAATTCGTCCATGACATTCAGGAGAATCTTGTGTCCAACCATGGTGAGGCAAGACACGATATCCATTGCGCGAGTGATCTGGGCCACAGAGAAGCCAATGTCGTCGCGTGAGTCGTAAAACTGAGCAAGTCCACGGAGGCGGCTGAGTATGATGGCACATCTTTCCAACGACGGGAGTAAATTTTCATGGATCAAACCACGCAGGTTCTCCAGTCCTGCCGTCACAGCCTTATCCCATCGTTTGTGGCCCTTGAGATGTTGTCAGCAATGAATCACATCGCGAGGAAAGCGTCTACTTACGCGCTCAGCTAGACTGTCGACCAACCATTCTCGGAGGGGCTCATGCGCATGGCCAGTGACAACCGTATGGAAAAGAGCTTGAACAATGTTCGTCGGCCCATGTGCTATCTGTTCCAAGTCTCCCTCGACACTACGCAAGAACTTGGACGGCAGTTCTCTCGTGTTCTTATACTCTACTTGCATGTGGAGCTGTGTCTGCTTCACATAACGCAGTAGCTTCTGTAACGTAGTGAGTTTTGACGCCAGGAGAGAGATGTTGATGGGGGATGAGGGTATAAAGGGCAGATCCATGGGAACCAAGTATACTGCCTGGTCGTTGTCGGCTGAGGATTTCAGGAGGAGAGTGTGAGTGGAAACTTCTGGATGAGAGGCATGTTGGATGAGCTGGAGAACGCCTGGTCTGTACATGGAACTTGGAAGCGTGTATCGAAAGTCGCCGATGACGAAGGAATCATAGATGCTGAGATGGAGGCGCCCATCACTCGTGCCTACCACCATGACGAAGACTTGGTCGCTATCCTCTGTGTTGAAGGGCTGGAACAGGAAGTCTATGCCAGTTCTTAAGGTGAACACCAGGCCGTCTTCCCTAAAGCCACAGTCAGTAACAAAATATGAACCATGGTAGACTTTACTTACCCTGCGCCGGCACTGGAACTAGGTAGAGGACTGATATTTGGCAAGGCAGAGTCTACTTCCAAGAAGGTGAGTTCTCGGGGTAGATCCAACGGGGCCGGGCTGCCAGGCAAATTCAGCTCCTCTGACATGAGTTTTTGCCATGGCTGCGCAGGCGACTGCTGGGCCTTCTTCTGCGGCCTGCCCACAATGTTGCGCGACCAACCGATGTGAGTGATGTTTGGCGTCGCTGTGTCATCTCCACAGACGCGAATGTGATGTGCAGCCTTGTTGTTCTCCAGGCCCATCAACCTCACGTATCCGTCGCTCCAGCCAACAGCAAGGAACTGGCCTGTGATCAAGTTAAAAAAAGTTCCATAGATATATCGAGTGCATCTTCGTACCGTCTGGTTTCCATCTTACAGCTTGGGGCTCCGGAGCCTGTTGACCGGGCTTCGCGAACTGGTGGATTTTGGACACAACGTGTTCCCTTGGGCGGTAGATCAAAAGGTTTTTCCCGTGTGCGTCCCAACTGACCGAGAGGTCAACCGTTGGGTTACTGCATGGGAAGCCTTCGGCGACGCGGTGGTCGAACTTGGTATCGCTGTAGTGCCGTAGCTGCATGGCT